CCCCACCCGGGCGGGGGGCTTGGTGTGACCCCCCGAGCGCTCGTGGGGCTGGGGGACCCCCGGGCAGAGGGGACACGGGGGGGCTGAGGGAAGGGAGGGGCAGGGAGGGGCATCCAGGGTATCACGGGGGGGGTCCCCACACAGGGGGGGGCTGGGGGGACTGGGGGGGACCCTGAGGAACAGCACGGGGGGGGCAGTGGGGGGTGACACTCTGGGGTCCAGGGGCGTTGGAGGGGGGGAAACACGGCTGGGGGGGAACTGGGTCCGAGTGGGGGGGCACAGACTGGGGGGCATGAGGGTCCTGGGGGCTGCGGGGGGGGCTGGGGGTAATGGGGGGGGCTGAAACTACGGGGGTCCCCGGGGGCTGCGGGGGGGGGAGCACAAGGCAAGGGGGTCCTGAGGGGCTCTGGGGGAGCTCCCGGGGGTGATGGGAGGGTCTGGGGCTCAGGGGTCCCGGAGTGCTGCAGGGGGGGTCCCGGGGCTCTGCAGAGGGGGGGTTTGGGGCACGGGGGTCCCGGGGCTCTGGGGATGGTACTCGGGTGCTGGGGGGAGTCTCTGGTGCTGCGGGGGGGTCTCGCGGGGTGCGGGGTGCAGGGGATCCTTGGGGGGTCCTGGCGGGGCCCCCCCTGTGCCGCACACGGGGCCGGGGGGGGATCCCGTGGGGGGGATCGGGCCGAGGGTGGGGAGGGGGGTCGGGGTATCCCCAGGTGAGGGGGGGTCGCGGGGGGGGTGCGGGAGCCCCACGGGCGGAGCGGGAGGTGGGGGGGACACAGGGGGATCCCGACCCCCCCCCGGCGCCCCTCGGTCCTACCTGGCGCTGCGCTGGGTGCGGGGGTCCCGGGGGGTCCCGGGGGGTCCCGGGGGGTCCCGGGGGGTGCCGGGGGGTCCGGGGGTGCGGGGGGGCCCCGGCGCGGCCGCGCGAGCCCCGGCGGCGGCGATTGACCCGCATTGACGTCACTGCGTCATCAGGGTTCCCCTGGAAACACGCGGGGGCTAAAAATAGACCCCACGGGGGGGGCGCGGGGGGCGGGGCGGGGGGCGGCCCCCCCACCCCCGCGTCTGCCGCTATTCTGGGGACACGGCGACAAATATAGAGCGGCCACCCCCGGCACGGGGGACACCCCCACGGAGGGGGGGACACGGGGGGGACACGGGGGGGCACCGACACGGGGGCATCGACACGGGGGACACCCCCACGGGGGGGCATCGAAAGGGGGGCATCGATAAGGGGCACACCCCCACGGGGGGGCATCGAAAGGGGGGCATCGATAAGGGGCACACCCCCACGGGGGGGCATCGAAAGGGGGGCATCGATAAGGGGCACACCCCCACGGGGGGACACGGGGGCACGAGGGAGGCGGACACGGGGGGGACACGGGAGCGGCGACTCGGGGGGGGACAGACACGGGGGGCACCGTCCCGGGGGGGGGACAACCGGGGCACGCCGGGACAAGGGGACACCGCGGGGCCGGGGACAGGGGACAGCGGGATGGGGGACACCGGGACAGGGCGACACGGGGACATCGGGACAGGGGGGTACTGGGACAGCGGGACAGCAGGACACGGGGGGACTGGGACACCGGGAACTGGGGACACTGGGACTGCGGCACACCGGGACACCCGGCCGTGGGCACACCGGGACACCGGGAGAGGGGAGGGGGACAGGGAGAGGGGAGGGGGACAGGGACGGGGACGGGGACAGGGACGGGGACGGACCAGGCGGGACGGTCACACACCGCGGCGAGACTGGACTGGGATGGGGTTGGACTGGGACGGGACTGGACTGGGACGGGACTGGACTGGGACGGGGCTGGACTGGGACGGGACTGGACTGGGACGGGGCTGGACTGGGACGGGACTGGACTGGGACGGGACTGGACTGGGATGAGCTGTAGTGGGACAGAGATGTACTGGGATGGGGCCGTGCTGGGTTGGAGCTGTGCTGGGACTGGACTGTATTGGGACGGGTTTATACTGGGATGGGGCTGGACTGGGACGGGTTTATACTGGGATGGGGCTGGACTGAGATGGGTTTATTCTGGGACGAGGCTGTGCTGGGATAGATCTGTATTGGGATGGGATCGTACTGGGAGGGAGCTGTGCTGGGATGAGTTTATACTGGGATGGATCCGTGCTGGGATGGATTTGTACCGGGGTGGGGTTGTACTAGGACGGGGCTGTACTGGGTCGGGTTTATACTGGGAAGGGGCTATACTGGAATTATACTGGTGTGAGGCTTTGGTGGGGTAGGGCTGTGCTGGGACATAGCTATACTGGGACAGTGCTGTACTGGGATGGGGCTGTACTGGGAGGGACCTGTACTGGGATGAGTTTACACTGACTGGGATGGATCCGTGCTGAGCTGGGGCCGTACTGGGATGGGGCTGTACTGGAATGGGGCTGTACTGGGATGGGGCTGTACTGGGATGGGGCTGTACTGGGTTGGGGCTGTACTGGGATGGGGCTGTACTGGGTTGGGGCCGTACTGGGATGGGGCTGTAGTGGGACTGGGTTGTACTGGAATGGTGCTGTGCTGGGACAAGGCTGTGCTGGGATTGGGCTGTACTGGGATGGATCTGTACTGGGATGAGTTCATACTGGGACGGGGCTGTACTGGGACAGGGCTGTACTGGGACGGGGCTGTACTGGGACGGGGCTGTACTGGGATGAGTTCATACTGGGACGGGGCTGTACTGGGACAGGGCTGTACTGGGTTGGGGCTGTACTGGGAGGGGGCTGTACTGGGACGGGGCTGTACTGGGACAGGGCTGTACTGGGACGGGGCTGTACTGGGACGGGGCTGTACTGGGACAGGGCTGTACTGGGATGGGGCTGTACTGTGGTGGGCTTATGCTGGGATGGGTTCATACTGGGGTGGGTTTATGCTGGGGTGGGTTTATACTGGGACTGGTTTATACTGGACTGGTTTATACTGGGACGGGTTTGCACTGGGATAGGTTTATACTGGATTGATTTACACTGAACTGGTTTGTATTGGGATGGGTTTATACTGGACTGGTTTATACTGGGATGGGTTTATATTGGATTGGTTTATATGGACTGGTTTACGCTGGGATGAGTTTATACTGGACTGGTTTGTACTGGACTGGTTTATACTGGGATAAGCTTTTTGTACTGGACTGGTTTGTACTGGGATGGGTTTATACTGGGATAGGCTTATACTAGGCTGGTTTGTACCGGACTGGTTTGGACTGGTTTGTACCGGACTGGTTTGTACTGGTTTGGACTGGACTGGTTTGTACCGGACTGGTTTGTACTGGTTTGTACCGGACTGGTTTGTACTGGTTTGTACTGGTTTGGACTGGACTGGCTGTTCCTGTCGTGCTGTTCCGGAACCGGCAGGTGGCGCCATTTCACTTTCCCGTTCAGGCCGCGGGAACCCAGAGCGACCAGTACAGACCAGTACAGACCAGTATAGACCAGTATGGCCCAGTACAGACCAGTATAGACCAGTACAGACCAGTACAGACCAATACAGACCATTATAGACCAGTACAGACCAGTACAGACCAGTATAGACCAGTATGGCCCAGTACAGACCAGTGCAGACCAGTACAGACCAGTATAGACCAGTATAGACCAGTATAGACCAGTACGGACCAGTATAAACCAGTACGGCCCAGTACAGACCAGTACAGCCCAGTATGGCCCAATACCGCTCTGCACACCCGGCAGCACTCCTGCACCCCACAAAGACCCCCAGAACCCCCCAGATACACCCAGAAACCTGCAGGGACCCCCAGAGATCCCCAGGACCCCCCCAGACTCCCAGAACCCCCCAAAGCCCCCCCCACCCCCCCATAGATGAAGTCAGAGACGTCCACCCCAAAGCCCACCCCAAAGCCCTGAGACGTACCCAGACACCCCCGGGACCTCCCAGAGCCCCCCCAAACCCCCCAGATGGATCCAGGGATCCCCAGGGACCCCCCGAGGAGGGTGGTCGGGCTGGGGACAGGGACAGGGACAGGGACAGGGACAGGGACAGGGACAGGGACAGCCCTTCCCCTTCCCCCGCCCCCCCGGTAATTACGATCGTTGTCCGGCGTTAATTATCGATCCCTCCGCTCCGTGTTAATTGGCTTCGGATTCAATTAGCGCTGGCCCCCCCGGCCCCCAAAATCGACCCGCGGCGCGGGGACAGCTGGGACAGCCCGGGGGGGCACCCCCAGGGTCCCCGCGGGGTTGGGGTGACCCCGGGGTCGGGGGGACCGTGGATTTGGGGTGCGGGGGGGGGCGCAGCACCCATCGTGGGGTTGGGGGGGGCGCAGCACCCACCGTGGGAGGCGGGCCCCCCCAAACATCGGGGGGCAGGTGGCAGTGGGGATCCCGCAGGGCTCTTCTGGGGGAGCTGCTGCCCCCCCTCAGCCGGGTCAGTTTGGGGGGGCTGGGGTCAGGGGTGGGGTCAGGGGTGGGGTCCAGGGCTGGCACTCGGGGTTCAGGGTCGGGGGACACACTGGGAACCTGGGGTTGGGGTCCTCATTTGGGGTCCACAATTGGGACCCACAGTTGAGGTTCAAGGTCAGGACCCACTTCTGAGACCCAAGTTTGGGGTCTGGGTTTGGGTCCCAGGGTCTGTGGGTGCGACCCAGGGTTGGGGGGCGATGTCAGGGGCCATTTTGGGGGCCCAGTGTGGGGATCCAAGATTGGGGCAGGGTTGGGGGCCCAACTTTGATCCCAGGGCTGGAGGTCGATGGGTGGGACCCGCAGGTGCCCCGGGTTGGGGTCCAGGTTTGGGGTCCCCACTTGGCTCCCGGGGCTGCCGGAGGGGTTTGGCCCAGACTCTGCCCCGTGGCTGCTGCCCTCGGGTGCCCCCCAACCCCCCCGCTCTCGGGATGGGGTCAGGGGTCCCGGGGCTGCACCCCCGTGGAGAAACAGCCCCCCCATCCCGGTGCTCGGGGTCCCAGCCTCGGTCCCTGGGGGGGGGAGGTGACCCAGGGTCGGGGGGGCGTGACCCCAGCACAGAGGGGACCCCAAAACACGACGCTTCACTACGTTTATTGGGCCTCTGCAGCTTTAAATACAGGCCAGGGCTGGGGGGGCTGCGGGGGGGCCAAGGCAGGGTGGGGGGACCGGGGGTGCCCCCCCCTTTGGCACCCCCAGGGCTCGGAGCCCCCCCCCGGCTGCCCCCCCGGGAGGACGGGACGGGATGGGGGGCTCGGCAGTGGGGGGGGGGGGGGAGGGCGGTGGGGCCCCCCCGCAGCCCCCCCGGCCCCTCAGCGGCTGTAGCCGAACTCGTCCGCGTCGTCAGCCCGGAAATCACCGTAACGCCACAGGTTCAGCTGGGGGGACACGGGTCAGGGGGCACCCACACACAGGGGGTCAGGGGGCACCCCCAAACACGGGGGGTAGCCAGGGGCACCCCCAAACACGGGTCAGGGGGCACCCACACACAGGGGGTCAGGGGGCACCCCCAAACACGGGGGGTAGCCAGGGGCACCCCCAAACACGGGTCAGGGGGCACCCACACACAGGGGGTCAGGGGGCACCCCCAAACACGGGTCAGGGGAACCCCCAAACACGGGGGGCAGAGGGGCACCCCCAAAC